ATACATTAATAACAGTGACTGCAGCTTGGAGAGAATGAGAAATGGGAGAAGGGGGAGGTTATAAATGCAAAAAGATTAATGAAATACACACTGAGCTCTCTGTCTGAAGGGCAAGATATCATTACTGTTATCATTGGACAAACATGCGGTACTGTATTTCTTTTGTTTTAAACACCCAAATAAGGACTTCTACCTCACCCACTTTGGCTTGCTGTAAAACGTATTGTGATTGTGTGAGTGTGCATGTGATGCATCTATTATTTGCTGAAAAGTTTGCCTTTGTCTCTATTCCAGCTCTACTTGTTCTGTTTTGTCTCCAGTTATCTGCTCATTCATCCCAACTCTTCTTGTGTTTTACTTGGCTAACCTTTTAGTACTTCTGCCAGGCCTCTGGTTTCTATCTGATTTAAATTAACCCTTTGTGGAAACTCTGCAATGTGTGTTATGACTATAATCTTTAGTGAATTATACCAGATTGGTAGGACTTGGATGCACAAAGAAGAGATTTTTTTAAACAATCGTTGGCACATTGATGAACAGACCCCATTAACACTTACAAAACACTTAATATCAAAAGTGTTGGCAAAGAGTTGACTTTTTTAATTCATATTCCCTCTTACATGGTATTTCCTAATGCCCTTCACTTAAGTCATTGTCCTGATAAACCATTTTGAGGCTTCTCTGGTTGCTTTTAAGCTTGGGAATGGGTTTGTATATGCTTGATTGGCTACAGAATGATAGTTTTGCATGAAGATATTATTAAATTCCCCACCAGCTGGCCGCACAAACCCTCTGTTGTCACTTAATGAGACACAATGGTAGTTTGCATGACCTAACTGATGTAGGTACCATGCTTGGCAAGTTTGGGGTGGTAACAGCAGCCGGTTAGTTTAAACCTTTTCTGTTTCCTTCATCTTCTCACAAAAGAGAGTCTAAGTCTTGCTTTGTTTAGTTAAAAGGAGAACAATACTACATTTAAAAAAAAAAAAAAAAGAGCTCCAGGAATGTCTGACTTAAAGCAAATTAGGCATTTATTGAATAGAATAATATGCTCATTGTTTAGAGAATAAATGTTATAACAGATCTATACTTACTTGTTACTATAAGAACCATGCAAGGGTGTAAAGCATCATGAGCTCTAATACAAATTTTTTTAGGTTGACTTGAGTGTCCGCGGAACTTTAGATTTGTAATACATGACTTCCTACTGCCTTTGGCTACAATTATGATGTGGCATATAGGTTCACTTCTGTTAGTGGTAGGGCAACAGGCTTTGCTACCACAGAGAATAAGGGAGAGACATACTACATACATCACTGTTGGAGAACTGCAGCACAGAGGCGTCATGTTCGCTGCGCTGATACCTGACCTAATTGCTTACTTCACTCACCTGCCTAACTCTACCCTGCTGTTAATTATCTCCCATCTTATCCACCTGCAACTGCTGCTTTATATTCGGCTCAGCTCAGCTATCTGGGCCAGATCATTATACATGTATGTTTGTTTGTTTGCTTTTAGTTACGTTTTTGGCTCGGGGGTGTTTAAAGCTCTGTAGTCCTGGTTTTTATCCACTTAGCGTGCTCTGTTCCTGTTTTGCCTTGGTGAAGGGAGCCAGTTTAAAGCTCTGCAGTTTTCCTGGTGTCGTGTCTTGTTCTGCGCCTCAGCTGAGCCTGCCTGTCTGCATCCAAACGTGTCTGCCTGAACTCTGTTGGTGTCTTGGAATCATGAACCTGCCTGAACTATCTGTGGGATCATGGAACCCCAGATCTGTCTGTCCCGGTTCTGATCGGAACCCCTGACTGGGCTATGGACTGGATCTCCGAACCGTCCTGTTCCAAACTGTTTGCCTGACCTGGCTCGAACTCATGCTTGCTCACTGGGGCTACTGCATCGGGGACACTCTGGGCGGCTCCCATCTCATCTAGTTGGCAGTGCATCGGCTGGATTCTGCCTCATTCTGAGAGGATGGACATTTCTCCCTCAACCATAGTGCCAGTAATGGGTTGTGCCCCGCCTCCCCCCACAGCCACTGCATATCCGCAGATCCACAGCTCTACATGCAACATCTGTTATTTCTGTTTGTGTGATTAAACGTTTTGAACTTTCCCACTGTCTGGCCTGAATATTGGGTCCTACATTCTGGGTTTCATTAGAGGGGCATCATGGGGTCACAAAGCCTCCACAACAAATATTAAATATTTATTTTATTTGCAAAGCAGTTTTTGGAGAGGCACATGAGGAAAAAGCCTTTTCTATACCACCACCTCAAAATTTAAACAGGTTAAGTTTTCTACAGCTGAGACTTTTCCTGCAACAGTGTGCTGCAGAGTCAGATGAGATCAAAGCTACCTTCACACCAGGCAGATTTACCTGTTATCCCTATGTACAGGTGTACAACAGCAGCAACGCAACGCAAAAAAGATGTAACAGACTTGTTGCCAGCTATGTTTAAGGTTTCCATTTTGGCACTTCCACCAATACGGGAACAATGCGACACAGTTGTAATTGGAAAATCTGAACTTTTGCATCGTGACGATCAATTACGGACTGGATGTGGTTGTTACATGGGGTGAAGGAAGCCATATGTGACTTACTTCTTTTCAATTAAAACTGGAAGATAGCAAAAAAACAATAGCGACAAAGGTTGTGGTGCTGAATCTCTAAAGAGATTTGTTGGTGTCTTTTAAAAAATCTGTTTTAATTTTGACCTGGGAGGTCTGTTAAATCTTTCATCCTTCATCCTGCTCTTCTAGCTCCCGGGCGAGGCAGAGCCAGTTGCCTCTGACCCACTCTGGTGCTTCTCTGATGAGATTTTGCTCTGATCTCCCGCTGCTACTGTTTGAGCGGCAGAACACCACCTCACTTTGTCCAAGCAATTCCTCTCTAAAGCAGGATGCTTCCAGGTTCTGGTCAGACAGGAGCACAGTGGAAAGGGTCAGCAATCCAGGCTGTGTAACTTAAAGGTCAGAGTGTGTCCAGTTTAAGCCAGAGCGAAAGACATAGTTTAGATGTTTCTGCTAAAAAACGTATCAATTCATCTTAATTTGTACCTGTGAGATAAAATCTGACAAGGTAATCTGCATTTCTTCTTGTCAATGATTGAAAGCATATAGTTTGTCAGGGTGCATTTGCTCATGTCTGAGCAGAACAAGAACTGTGAACAATTACCTATTAAACCTTCCATTTTGCAGAACTGAAAGCAAGTTGCAAATTAAATTAAATTCAAAAATATTTTACCAATCTCAAAGGAAAAACAAATAAATTCTGAATTTATTTATATTTTTGTTAAACAAAGCTGTCCACAAGTGAACTCTTAACTTAAGGTGCAGTATCAAAGACATACAACTGTCCAAAGAAACTCTACAGACATACTTTAATAAATCTTCAATCTCTGTGACTTATCTCATGACCTCCATTTGAATTATTTACTTACTGAAAGACCTCTTCAGTCTAGGTTTGCAATCTTTCACTGACCCAATGGGGTTGACATCTACTTCCTGGCCAGGATGAGGGAAACTTGGGGAATTTATAAGTGAAAAACTCTGGGAACACTATAGAAACTGGCTGTGGACCAGCCATGTCCTCCATAGAGGAAAAGAAAACCTTTGACCTCATGTAATGCCCCCCCTCCAACATCCAACCACCCCCATACTCAACCATCAATTCACCTCAAAACGACAGGCTTTAATAATACACAGACTTCTGAGACTACCGGTTGTACTCATCCGTTTGAATTTACAATGCTTATTTTTTGTAATAGAGTTCAACAATGTATCCGATGCTTTAAATATATTCCCCTGGAGATCCTTTCAGCAACATCTGGAGCACATCTCCCCTAAGCTACTGTCCTTATGTCTTTTAGTCATCCAGAGCTTCTCTCCCTACATGGTGAAGGCCAGGGGGAGGGCAGCTGTGCTGGAGAATAGCTATGCATGGCATTTGTTTCACTTTCTAGCCTGATAAAAATGATTCTGTCTTTTATGCAGTAAGTTGAATGCTCAAAGATGCATACGCCTCAAAATTTAGTTTTGGTTTATATTGCATATTCTGATTGTCACAATGTTAGGTGTTTTATTGTCATATTAGATGAATCCCTAGTTAATCTCAAACGCCTTATTTTGCCTCATATTCTTGGGCAATTTGGTTTCCCGTCTTTACTTATAATACGAAAGTCCTGCCAAATACAACTGTCTTGCTGAAGTAGAATAAGCCTTTCCAAATGTACCATATGCCGCTTTAAAATCAATATAGTTGTTTATCATTAAAGGTTCCAGTGCAAGTTGCCAATGCCAAAGTGTTTTAATGCACGTCTAATGTAGATGGATGGTCATTACCAGCCTTGGCCACATTAAAAATCCATAATCTCAAAAACAGAACAAACTGTTTATACTTAACATATCTAAAGATGTTGCTCATGGCTACTGCAACGATCAAGGTGCCGCACAAAAAGCATCACCTTGATCATTTCATACGGCATCTGGTTTAGAAAAGGCGAACTGTTTATTAGCTAAGCGGAACAGAATAGTAAGTAACGATACAGCGCTACAATGCTGGTATTGCTGTATTGACCGATCCCAATATTGACCCGATACAATATTAACATGAATCCTTCATATTTTTATTTGTGATATTATAGTGTACAATAATAGAAAACTCTTAATATTTAACATCAGGTCTAAGAACAACTGACCCATTTCTTATTCCACAAAAATAAAACAGAATAGGATTAAACTTAAAAAGCAACTAAATATAGTTTGCATCTACCCAAAAGCGCTATACAGGATATAACTAGTCATTTACATGTGTACAGAATCTATGTATGTAAAGTTGGAAACCAGTTGGTAGAACCAGTTAAGGAGGCGTTGTATCATTAAAACAACATCTTATCTTTAATTTTCAACAGCTTTAATATTATTTTTCTTTCCTTTTGTAAAGTACGCAGAAGTTAACACATCACAGAATAATTTTGGTTAAGAAAAAATTGTGTTGGTTGTACTTACTGTCAAGGCATGGAGCGCACACAGTCTGTTTGGCTTCGCAGGGTGAGACAACGCCCTCGCCGGGCGGACACTGCTTGCAGCATTGTCCACTGGTCGTATTCTTGCCCGACGGACAAGAATTCACAGAGGCTCTGGAATCAGCCTGAAATTCAAGAAAAAAAGGTGAAGCAAAACCCTTACATACATTTAGCTGTGAAAGCATAATATTATAAAAATGTGCGAGTTGCACCATAAGGAGAGGTGTAAACAGTGTTCTTCCAAAAGGCAGCTGAGAGAGAAATAATTTTTTTTTTTTAGAAGAATATGCAACAGAGAAATAAATACAAAAAAATGCTAGACCTTCCACCAATGTCTTTCTTTCTTTATTTATTTCCTTTGTTAAATATTGGGTATCTGATAATCAGATATCCAGGCCTGGAAAAAATATAAACATTTCAGCTATTTTCTCAATTTCCCATGCTCTTCTGAAAAACAAAACTGTGTATGATAATCTGGCTTATAAACATAGCTGAGATAATCAGCAGAGGACAAATTTATCTCTGTGGTTGAACTGATCTCAACCTCAAGAAAAAATTACTTTTTATGGAGAAAATGTGGTAAAAAAAAGTTTCCATTGAGATGGTTTAGGCATAAACTCACAGTGTATAAAGTCATCTTAATTTACTGCTATTTTTAATATCAAACTAAACAAGAACATTGCATTATAACTTTTCTTTGAAGTTGGATAAGATGAAAGAGAAGTAATTTGATTAAAATCAGACTTTTATAGCTCTTCTAAACTGAATATAATAATGTACGATACTAGTATTAAAACCACTCTACTGTTTGGCTTTGAAAGGGTTAATGCTTCATCAAACTTTAGGCCAGCTCAGCGTATGTATTTATACCTGTAAGTGAGAGGCTGTAAACAAAGCCAAACAATAACACATCCGTACCAAGTTAAGTCACTCTGCTCTTCAAGCATTCTTTAGTGTGACCCGCTGAGTGCTTTATCTTAGCTGTTGACAGGAAGAGATGTTTGTGCGTGCCTCTGCTTATGCATAAATGCATGAGAATTACAAACCCTTGCACACTCATGCCTGAATGTTGAAATTCCCACGTTCGTGTAAAAACTTTACCTGTGATCTTTGACAGCATCCAACCACTAAACCTTTCTCACACCATGTTTTTAAAATTCTTATCTAAGAAACGACTCAATTTCTCTCACCAAACGCAGATAGGAGCAGTGATAAGTTTCAGATCTGATTGTACTACCGTACTCTACGGTTACAACAGGATGGTTAAGAGTCAGACTGCCGTTTCTCCTTAGTAGTTTCCCAATGTGTCTCCCACTCCATGGAACAGGGGCCAACAGAAAACTGTTTTCATCTCAGTTTAAAGCATGCCTCATCCAGTGAGCAACATGTGAGTCAGCTTGTTCCCCACTGGGGCGAATTTGGTTTGAGGCGCATCGTAGGCAAGTTAATTGCATTTAGAGGGATGTGCGTACACATGTAGGTTTTAAGTGAAGGAGGTACACTCTGCATAAATCGTCAGGGTTCAGGTGTGTGTGGAATGTAGCTGACAGGGGAGAGGAGCTACAGAAAAAAAAAAACAAAAAAAACAAGCATCCCCTCAGGCACCTCTGAGTCAGCTGATGTGTGTTTCTACATCTGTGGGAGTGTGCAAAAGTGAGCATGCACTCACACAACCTTGTTAACCCTGCTGGGCCTTTGGTCTCCTCAACTTGGAAGTTTGACAGTAAGTACCACAAGATTCCTTTTCTGTTTAAGGATGCACAATGCAGGTAGTGTAAAACTCTAATTACTGTATGACCCAGAATACTAGAGATCTCTTCAATTAAGATGATCAAAAAGAGTTTAATTTTATAAAGTCTATACAGTTATATCTTTCTACAATGTTTAAGATCTGTTGCTCAAAACACCACTGACTATGCCCTAGAAATGATACCTTTAAAAAGTGCTTGTTTTGAATTTTGCTTTTTCTTGTCATAGAAAGGTCATGTGACCAAAAAAAAAAAAAAATGGTAGGCTGGAATATTGCATCAGGCAACACACCACACCCTGGATCACAGGAATCTGGGCCAAATGAAAAGACAAAATTAGTGATATATATATATATATATATATATATATATATATATATATATATATATATATATATATATATATATATATATATATATATTTTAGAACCAAGATACACATGTAGAACAGTACAGACTTTAGCTGCCCGGGTTTTGGTCAGAATTTATAAAAAGAATATAGACCATGATCAAGAATGGCAATTTTGAGAGAAATTCAAGGTGTTAAACCAAAGCAAGCTCAAAGGACTGATATGCAAGATATGCAAAAAAAAATATCAAACTTGATTGAGCAAATTACTGTAACTAATGGAACCATGATCTCAGCACTCTAGAACATATAAATGTAATCTTAATCAAACCTGAGATATGCAGCAGACATTTATCCAAATCAGACTAGCAAATCCAAATCAAAGAATCAAAAATAAAAGGTGGTTTAGACAAAGGCTCCTAATTAGAGATACCTAATTAGGCATACTCTCTTTATAGGCATTCACTCTCAGGAGCGGGTACAGGGTTGTACATGTGAAATATTTTTTTTTTAGGTGAAAAGGGCGGGTTTGTTCAAAAATTCGCAAAAATCATCCACTATACCTTTAAGAGTGTTTCTTGTCTTCCACGGATCTTTTCCTTATTTTTTTCAAACTTGCAGCACATGTTCTACATTACTATACAAGTTTACAAAAGTAGACATTAAAATGTGGATCAAAGCCTCATCCTTTATGGTTCCCCTCGGCAGCCCCACATACAGTACAACACAAATACACACACATCTGCACCAGCTTGCTGACAAACCTCCCATGATGTGAACGAACCTGTTTTAAAAGGATTCTTAAAATGACTCCAGCATTTGGTATTAGCCTTTTTTTTTCTTTGACATGTTCTTAGCTTCAGGTGTAGGCGCAACAGAACATCGCCTCATACACCAACACTGAGGTTAAATATATCAGCTAGCTAATAACTGATGATCTGAGCAAAAGGATTATTAAAATTATGTACTTTGAGCAAATTGCACGTTAAAAGAGAAAAAAAAGGATGTACGCCTTTTTTAACAAGCTGAAACTCGACTTTCCTAGTTCTATAAGCCAGTTTTGATGTGGGGTGATGAGCTGATTTCCTCGATGATGGAACAATATGTACACTACTTATAAATGCGAAGCCTGGAAAGAAATTCCCTGGGATGTTGGGACAGAATTTTGGTGCTGTGATCGACCCTACAACTGCCTGACCTCAGAACATGTTGGACATGTGAACAAAATTGTTGGAACTGAAAAAAATCCACAACTGTCACAAAAAAACTTGAATCTGACAAAAGTATTGATAAATATAAATTCTATGAAAATTAATCAATGAAAGTCAGACTTTGCTTTTCAGCCATTCTTCAACATAATGATTTAAAAATATAAACAGGCCTGTACAAAAAAAAGACTAAAAGTAATGTGACCAAAGGGACATGTTAAAATAAGGTGTGTCCAATAATTAGCATCACAGGTGTCTATGTTCTTATAATCAGTTAGTGTGCCTATATATAGGGGTATAGGGGGGTCACTGTGCTGTTTGGTAATATGGTGTGTACCACACTCAACATGGACCGGAGGAAGCAAAGTTATCTCAGGAGATTAGAGAGAAACTTTTAGACAAGCATGTTAAGGGTAAAGGCTATTAGACCATATCCAAGCAGCTTGATGCTTCTGTGACTAGTTGCACATATTGTTTTGAAATTTGGGATCCATTGGACTGTAGCCAACCTTCTTAGATGTGGCCACAGGAGTAAAATTGATGACCAATCAAAGGGAAAGATAATATGCAAATAAAACAAGAAAAAAATCATCTGAAGAGATTAAAGTTAAACTTCCAAATTGAGGATCATCAGTGTCAGATCGCATGATCCAACATTATTTAAGCCAAAGTTTCTTAATGTGAAACAACTGAGAAGGACACCATTGTTTTGGCAATATATGTTCATTTTTGGCCGCCCGATATATACCCACCTTTCTGTTCCTAGTATTGATTTGAAAAAAATTAACAAATAGACCACATGAGATAGCACTATGGAGCCATTTTGCTGTGCAGTGCAGCACCATATTTGTAGATGAGGCAGTCACAGTCGAAGACGTGGACTAACTCAAACCCCCAAAATCAAGGATACCAAAATAAATACACAATCAATATCATCTGATGAACATATATAGAGCACATGCTTTTTTATCTATACATTTAATTATGATAGATGGAAAAAAATATCACAATATAAAGAGATATCGCAATATTGTGATAACATCGTACCATGTCCGAGGTATTGTGACATGTATCGTATCGCAACACCCATGCCAATACTTACCCATAGTTGGACACAAACAATAAAAAGCCAGACTGCAATTCAAAAGTACATCTTGACAAGCCACAATACTTATGCAAAAAGTGTCCTATGGACAGTTGAGACAAAAATTTTATTTTTCCGCTCTGAGTTCACAGAAGGGAAAACATCCTGCTTCATCTGGCAGAGGATGTCTTAAATCTCTGCAGCGTACAATGAAACCTCAAGACTACCAGGGGATTCTATAGAGAAATGTGCTGCCCAGTGTCAGAAACCCTGGTATTAGTTGCAGGTCAACAGGATAATGACCCAAAACACACAGCTAAAAACATCCAAGAACGACTGTAAGGAAACAACTGGACTAGTCTGAAGTGGCCTTCTATGAGCCCTGATCTAAAACCTATTGAGCATCTGCAGGGGGCTGAAACATGCCGTCTGGAAAAGGCAGCCTTAGAACCTGAGACAACTAGAGTAGTCTGTTCATGAGGAGTGGACCAAAATACCTGCTGAGAGGAGCTGCAGTCTCATTGATAGCTACAGAAATCATTTGATCGCAGTGATTGCCTCAAAAGGTTGTGCAACAAGATATTAATTTAAAGGAAACATCATTTTTGTCCAGACTTGTTTTATGAGTTTATTCTTTTCAAGTAATTCTGTTGAAGCATGATTGAAAAACAATGTCTGACTTTTATTTGTCATTTTTTTAATGTTCATTTATACTTTTGTCAGTTTCAAGTTATTTTAGTAACATTGTAGTTTATTTTTTCATTAAACAATGACAAATCATTTTTATCTACATGTGTTTAGGCATACACCTTTATGTATTAATATATATTTTCATGCATCTGTTGCATTGTTATGCTTACCTCAATCTAAGGTGCTGTCAAAGGCTAATGAGAATGCAAAAAACAAAATGTATGATTTCGATAAAATCAGTTTCAATGATTTAGCTTTCAGTGCATAATAACACAGATGAAGCTTGATCAAATTTTGGATTATGCAACTGTGCTGACAGTGGAAAGAGGGAAAGAGAAAATCTCAAAAACAGAGAAATGTGTGTTAATATAAAACTGTCCAAAAGGTAAGGAGAAAAGGGCAAGAATTTTAGGTCACCCTCCTTCTGCTACAGAGCAGAAAACGTGGAACTGTAGCTTCCACTGGTGGAATGATTAATAGGAGTCTCTGCCCCAATTGTGTATGTCACTGACTGACAACACAAACACATCTACCCTCCAAACACTGTGCATCCAGGCACATAAATGTTTGTGCCATTTCTTGTCCTTATTTAGACAAGAGAAATACGACTTTCAGAGCCCATAAACAGCAGCCACCTTCATTCTAAAGATGGATTCTAAAGCATAGGCTGATATAACAAGTATATCCTGACTCAATATGGGCATCAACAAATATTTTAGATGAAAATGCTTTAATTAAGCTAAATTGCAAACAGTTTATTTAATATTGCCAAATACTCAGATGTGTTTCTATTTTTATCGGCAGGTATCCTTGACCCAGTATTCCTCTGTTTAAACGTCTTTTTTTTTTTCTTTTAACAAAAAACCACTAACTGATAACATCCTTGGTATCCATAGATAAAAAGACTGGCTCAGGGTTACTGCTGCCTGTCATTCAGTTTTCTCTATTTTCTATCATTATAGAGGGCAGGTCTGCGTTAGCCCATATTTGTTCTTTTTAGTGACTATCTGCTTTTTTCCTTTTCAGCCACAATTATTCACTTAAAATGAGCAGTATATATTTGTAGGATTCTTCCTGCATTAAGGGGGTTTCTTTCCACTGTCGCCACATGTTTGCTCACAATAAGGACCAGCTGAAACGACAAGAACTCAACACTACTGGTTCAACTTAATTTAGTAGATAATTCTTTTACTTTTTATCAATCACTACATGTCTATTTAAAAACTAAAATCTTTTTTTATATAGTAGTGTTTGCTCAGTTTTTTTTTTTTTTTACTGTGAACAGTGAACTCATACTCTTAATCTTTTTAAACTTTTTTTTCTAATTAAAAAACATTGAAAAGAAGCATTTGTGGGTTTGGCAACACAGCTAAGCATGAAGTTTGAAGATCAAATATACATTAGAAATGTAGAAATGTGTTTGTTGTATTAGAATAACAGATAAATTAGAAAATAGGGGAGTATGTGGGTAAATGGCACATAACCAAAACAGCTTGGCATCTTCTACTTATGCCAGACACCAGTTTGGTCTATTTTGAAACAGTATTTTCCAGCAATTGTCTGTGTGGTTCTGCTTGGCAAAACAACTTGCTCAAACTGGTCCATAAAGGATTATGTGGGGCTGAGGCTAGGAGTCAAGAAATATAATTCTATTTTCTCTGATTCTATGATTTACATCTGAGGATCATTTATGGTCCCCATGTGAATGGAGATGGTATGTGGAAGCAGAATCCCATCTTGATATTAGATTAAATTAGATTCAACTTTATTGTCATTACACAGGTACAGGTACAAGGCAACAAAATGCAGTTTAGGTCTAACCAGAAGTGCAATAGCAGCAATTGCAGAATAAATAATGGTTCCATAAGTACTGGACATGGGTTTCTACTGAATAAATATAGAGAGGAATACCATTATAAACAGAATTTTACTGATAGATTTGTCCTATGAATATAATATATAGAAAGTGCTATGAACTAAATTTACAGCTGGATATGTACCGAATATAATATACAGGTGGATATTACTATAAATAGGGTTTTTACCGATAAGTACAATAGCACAATATACATATATCACACTGCATTGAGGGTGTCTTCTTTAATAGCAGGTCTTGGCTTTCCAATGAGAGCTATCACCCCATAGCATCACCCTGCCTCCACCAAAAATGGCTCATTTTTAGAAGAGTGAATTTCAGTGGCACATCCAATAGATTGTTTTCATATAAATGCGGGACACTGTAAGTCCAAAGTATATAAGAAACATTGTTAGAATAAAAGTTCCTTATGTCTTGTGCCAGATCCATTTTTTTCTTTATAAGATGTACTCAATAAAAAAAAATCAAGGATATAATCAATGCGCAATGGGCATTATGGATTTCACAAAAGAAAATTAATACTGCTGAATCATCACTGCTGAACAATGACAACGGAGATGCAAAAGACCATAAGATGGAGAGGTAAAAGAAGAGAAGGAAGATTGAGGAGGAGGAGGAGGAGAAAGGTCCAACACCTATCAATATTGCATGTGCTGAGCCAGCAAATTGATGCTTAGCCATCTGTAGGAGCAGCTGCCATGTACTGTAGATGTACCAGGCTCCTAAATCAGGACCTCAACAACCTCATGAACACTGTCCGTGTGCTGTCACAAACTGGGAGATTTATTTCCTGGCTGGACCAGAAGGTAATTCAAACGTATTATAAAACACAACTGTCAAGGCTGTTCTCCTGATGTTTGAAAAATGCCCTGCTACTTTTTTGGCTCTTGTGTAAGTGTTGATATGTGGTGATGTGACACTCTCTCTAAACAACAACGCACCTTTTATACCAACTGGACTAGATAAAGTGGCATAAAGTGAGTAAATCAGGCCTTTTATGTAAATGTAGGCTTCATGGATGAGCTGCTCCACAGATTCCTCTGTTATTGTCCTTTTCTCTGTGGGAACACATGTAACTGAGACGGGTGGAACTACAGCTCCATGCACCAATCTGAGCTATAAAGTGTCAACCTGAAAGGCTGATCTGCTGCATGCATCCTGCTTAAACACTGTCAATCTCAATCCTTCTCAAAACAGGACAGGTGCAAGCACAAGAAGCAAAAAAGGCACCATGGCGCATCACCAGGAGTTATAACACTATAATAACATAAAAAATAGGGTGTAAAAGGAATTTAAATGAATTTGCAGTTAATTTGAACATGCTAAAATAATTTAAATGCTTTTTTCTGTTTTTCACAAACTCTATGATGCATAAATAAACTCTCCATAAAGGTTTGCTAAAGTTTAAAGCATCACAATATTGGTTAATCAACGCACTTAATTTGTACAAAAGGAGGAGGACACTTACCAGTCCAAGCAAGGCTGCAATCAAAACCAACTTCATCCTGTATCTCCTTTGCATATTTCTAGGAGCGTCAGAAAGCAGGTGCAAGAATAAAGCGGGGTGAAGTCTCAGCAACTTAGGGGGGAAGCAATCACGACTGTCATCGCTGCGTCTTTCCGATCCTATCTAGCTTTATATTCAAAGAGAATAAGAGAAATGAACTGTCCCAATAAAGAAGTCGTTCAAATGTAGCTCTGTGTATGAGGCGCCCCCTGCGCGCAGCTTACAATCCAGTCTGAGGGTCCAAATGACGCATGGAAAGGGTTTATCTGACTCGGTGCGCTTCTTTTCCGCTGGGTTGGTTCATGTGGTTGAAACACTTCAGCTCTGTGCGCCTTCAGGGAAGGAGTCATCTCCTATCCACGCCCACTCGGAGGACGCAGCTCGTTCAGTCTTTGACAACTCGCTCCAGGATGTTGTTGTTGATTCGGACAAACCGACAGAAATGCAACATAATACTAGTCAGATGGTGAATGCATTGTATGTGAGGTTTTTCCGCATATTGGGTCAGACTGATCTCCAAACATATATATATATATTTTTGAAGTCATAATAATTGTATTTTTTCCTATATTTGCTCTTTACTGACTGTTGGTATGTGGCCTTTTTTACTTTGAATAATGACCTTCTTAAACAGGTTCAGACAGCATCTTTTCTCATTTCTTATTTCTGTTCATGTGCTCTCTTCATCCTCTGACATGGGAGTTGGCTCAGAGCTCATCTGCCTGGCTGTGTGTTTCCTGGACAGACCGCCTTTTACAGCTGCTTTTTGTGTCTCTGCTTCTGTCTCCTTGAACCCGAGTCCGCGTCGGCAGATGGCCGCTCAGACTGAGCCTGGTTCTGCTGCAGGTTTCTTCCTGTTTATAGGGAGTTTTTCCTCTCCACTGTCGCTTCAAGCATGCTTAGTGTGAGGGATTGCATTGGAATCAATGAGTCGATGCAATCAACTGGGTTTTCCTTAGATAGAAAACATTGAATCAATTTGACTGTATGATCTGGTGAACTGTAAAGTGCCTTGAGATGACGTGTGTTGTGAATTGGCGCTATATAAATAAAGTGAATTGAATTGTTCTGTGGTTCATGTATAGACGTTTCACAACAAAACAGGTTTCAGTGAAAACTCTTAACTAAGCAACTGAATCTCAACTAAAAACAACTAGATTTGAAACCAAATTTTATCTCGATAAGTTTAGAATGAGAAATTACCTTTTATACTAATTAAGAACAATTGGGATGTGCTTAAACCAATCCAAAATGAAAATCCAAAAGGCAAATAATACTTGATTTGGTAAAATAATATGTCATTAGAAGATCATTAATTAGTAAAAAATCACTCTTAGTGCAATGGATCAATGTACTGAATAAAACAGATGAAATATACTGATATTTCAGTTATATTGTAAATTAAATTTACATAAAATTTTACATATTCTATAAATTCTGAAGCATTTGCTTAAAAAAAATTACAAAGGTGAAGTAAATGTTTCGGATGGCAATGACTATCTGTAACATTCTACATCTGCTCATCTGTTTAAATTTCCTTTTCTTTTTCCTCATGACATAATTAGGTTAATGCCTAAAGACAGAGGGCAGATAAACTGAGCTCAGGAAGACTTCCCCCATCAGGAATGAATACACCATTTAGCAGGAAACCTGAGATCCACAGCAGCACAGATTTAAAAAGTCCGCTCTACCTCATTGTTGTCTTTCTGTATTGTATCTCTAATATTAATAATTTATGCGAGATGTCAAGAAAGCTGACATAAGATGAAATATTAGGAATATATGATAAAATATTTCTGCTTTAGGCTTTATGGGTTGATTAAGCAAGCTTCTTCTGAGCATTATAAACAACCAAATTTGACATTTATTTGCAACTGTTCCAGCTGTTCTGCAGCATTTTTTTGCCACTTGCTCTCATACCCTTTAGCAAAATTCATTAAAACATGTTTTATGGCTGCATTTCCATCTCTTGTTGAGTTTTCCATGTTGTTGGTTTACTGTCCTTGACATTTGAACAGGAATAAACCTGTTAGTCTTCACCTGAAATGAGTTACGGGAAGATGATAGATCTTTCTACAGAGAGTTACTCCAGAGATCGTAAAAAAGATAAAAAAATCTGTATTGCATTTGGTAGTTAGATAGACAGACGGACGGAAGAAGGACAGACGGAAGGATAGGTAGGTAAATAGATAATCTTTTTAAAAATGTACATGTTTCTCATGTAAATGTAGAAATTAAAAAAAAAAAAATCACCTTCCCTATGCTAAAAAGCCTTCAAAATATGTGTTTCTAAGTATAAGACACTTAATTTTATTATCTATTCTTTGCATACCTTTTAATGCACAAGAAATCCCATCCATCCATCCATCCATCCATCCATCCATCCATCCATCCATCCATCCATCCATCCATCCATCCATCCATCCATCCATCCATCNCATCCATCCATCCATCCATCCATCCATCCATCCATCCATCCATCCATCCATCCATCCATCCATCCATCCATCCATCCATCCATCCATCTTCTCCCACTTACTGTATTCCATCAGGGTCTCAGTGGGCTGCTGCCTATCTCCAGCAGTCTATAGGCACGAGACGGGGTACTCTTTGGTACACAGAGACACAACCATGCACACAAACACATTCACACCTAAGTACTATTTAGAGAAGCTAATTAACCTAACAGTCATGTTTTTGGATTATGGGAGGAAGCCGGGGTACCCAGAGAGAACCCAGGCATGCACACAGAGAACAAGCAAACTCCATGCAGAAAGACGCCATGCACCTTCCAGCTGCAATGCAACAGTGCTACCCACTGCTCCACCATGCAGCCCTAAGAAATCCCAGTAATTAGTACATTTTCTTAAAAAGCTTCTAGAGGATCAGCTGATTAGAGTCTCTAGTACACAAATGCCTCTTCACCTTTGTTAGTCTTAGAAACAGAAGAAGACAAGCTGTTCAGGTAGATAGATGTGTCCTGATCATCAGAAAACCCTCTTTAGAAGGTTGCTGTGAAGATAAAGTTGTGGATTTGTAAATATTTTTACTACAGTAAGAAATTGGGTTTCAAGAAATTGAACCTTAACAAAGAGAGCAAGATTATATTACTTTTTTTGCTTGTTTTTTGTCAGCACATAGAAGGATATTTAGAAAATACATAAAGCAGGTCTCTATAACTAAAGGACAACATCCTGGGTTTACAATGTCCCCCAAAAATCTGTTTATTTTATGTTTTATGTACATATCCATAGCCGGGTCATTGATTGTGGACATTTCAGTATCTCCTAACTTGATTACTACAGTCCAACATCCATGACAGTGTTTGCAGTATTTTTACAGCAGGAGGTTGACAGTGAAGCCTCAAAGATTACACTGTGATTTATAGAAACCCTGTCAGAACTAAGTGCTATGTGGGATGTGGGTTTACAACTGATGGGGAGGAAGAGAAAAAGCTCCTTTACTATTTGTAGATAAATAATTAATGAACACAAAAACAGTGAAGAAAGTACCAAAATAACTTATTAGGATATAAGAATTTTTTTTGTATTAAAGAATAAAGTTTAGATATTGTGAATATACTTTTAAAGTGTGAGCCAGAAAAAACAAGGATGTTAAGAAGATACATTAACTGTTTTTATATTGTGATGTAAACACATTTTTTTTAATCTATTTTAAGTTCTATTCATGACACATTTGATCTAAGTTTTGAGATCTTCCGCTGATTATATAATTACTGATTACAGTTATCAAGGAAACAATAAAAGATTCAACCTAAATTCCAGGAACAAAGATCAAAAATGAAATATCACTGTCTTCATTGTAATGATTTAAGATCAAACCTTGATCTTAAATCATTTTTTTAATCATCTTGGAGTTTAGGTGAAAAAATAATGCTCAACCATTGCTAAATGCTTCTTGGTTCTTTCAGTCTTTCAGTCTTTTGCTGTTTAGTCACCACAATGTACGTAAGACAAGCTGCTTCCTTCCTGTTTTATTTCAGACATTCTAAGATAACCACAACTACATCAACTCAAATTCATGTTCAAGATAAATTGCCAAAAAAGAGGCTCAGGTTTTAAAAGAAATCATCTTGTATATCTGTTTTACTTTGTAAAAGTACAAATGCTAAAGCATAACCTTATCTTTTTCAGGTCTGAAATGACAGCTGTGCCATGCAAAGTCTCACAGTCACCATCTGCTCCAAGAGAGTTAATAGAGGATGGGTGGTCCATGGCAAACTAACTATCCTATCTAAGGTTTCAGTAAATGGATCCTGTTCTTTTATCAGAGCCATATATCTCAAGCCAAACTAAAACTATCAATTTTGGGGGGAGATAATTTAACAGTATAATCTTAATTCAAGGATAAAGTAAATTCTGTCAGAATCATATGTAACTCTAATTTAGCTCATTTAGAAAATGCATGTCTGTTTTTTCTTTATTCACTTTACTATTCCAGAAAGCTTCAGTGAATTATACGGTTAGTTTGATTAACTATATTACTCCACAAGACTGAGAAACAAGGATAAGCCCCATATTATATTATTTAATCCATATACTAAAACACTCCATTGCTATTTTCTTTGCTTTTTTAAATGAAGTTTATTTAAGATTTTTATGTTTTCTGCATACACACCACATTATTCCAATGAACATTACCTCATTTTTACATTTACCGTGTAATATTTCTTAGAACCTTTTAGCTTTCTATCTAATTTTGTCTTTTCAGTGATTCATATCATCTGTTTGCACCTTGTTAGCGTATCACAACCCAGTTATATAACATCTCTATGTATGATAACTGTTTGTTTTTTTCAACTCCATCTCCAGAAAGTTCAACTGTCTCTCAAGCATCAGCTGCAGTGGAGAAGCATAAACAACTCTGGGCAACGTGATCCATGATTTTCTTTTGAGCTGGCCCTCTAATGTACTGTAATAGCTGCAGGGGCATCATATGACGAGCAGAGGAAGCCCTTGAATTACTCTGAGAGCACTCACACCAATAACTGGAGCAATATCATGTTGTGCGCAGTGCTGCACTGTTGTGATGGTTATATCCATATGATTTTGAAGAAAGTTCAACAAAACAATTGTTAGATCCTGAAAGCCCCTAATTGGTTAGGTTGACTCAGATCCTTTTTATAAAACAGTTGTAGGAAGTGGAAGGTTGCATCAGAGTGAACTGCAAGGGGGCCAGATGGCAACAGACCCAACTTTTTCCCCTGTGATCCTCTCATCTGTGCTTTATTGATCTGATCTTTCTAACCCTCTCTTCTCTGTGTCCATGCTCCATCCTTTGTTCACTGCTGCATGGTATTAATAATTTA